TGTGTGTGTGTGTGTGTGTGTGTGTGTGTGTGTGTGTGTATGCATGCATGCTACCACTGAGCCACCACTGCCCCGTTCTCTCTCTCTGTGTGTGTGTGTGTGTGAATGCTACCACTGAGCCACCACTGCCCCGTTCTCTGCATTAGTCTATTATATACTATTAGTCTAGCTGTTTACTTAAGCATTGAGTAGGAACTGTAAGGCCGGTGGTTCAAAACCACCATTCTTCCACAGGAGAACAATGATTCTGTCTGCTCCTGTAAAGACTGACAGCCTCGGAAATGCTACCTAGGGTCCCAAAGAGTCAAAATCGACTCAGGGGCTCTGGGTTTAGGTTTGATGCATAACTTGTACCCGTGTCACCCCGATTCAAGGGGGGAAAGAGATGGGCATTTCGTGAGATCATGTGGCTTGCTTGAGGTCGCAGCGTTTGCAAGTGGCAGGGCTGGACTACTCACCCTCAAGCTCCCCTGCTCAGTGCTAGGGTACAGGACCTATAAAGTCCCTGGGGTGCGTATGGTTATTATGCTCAGCTGCTAACTCAAAGGCTGGAGGTTCAAATACGTGCACAGACACCTCTGAAGAAAGGTCTGGGGATGTGGTTCTGCAAAACTAGCCACTGCAAACCTGGGGAGCCGAGTTCTACTCTGACGTACACCATTTGCCACAAGGCAGTCAACTCAAAGGCAACTGGTGTGGGGCCTTTCGTTTCCAGGACACCCCCTTTCTCTCCTCCTGCAGCACCCCCTTTTTTAACTTCAGCTCGCCAGGGGTTGGAATAGACTCACTGGCAGTGAGCTTGGTTTTTGGACCCGAGGCGCTTTCTGTTGGCCAGAACCTCACCCGCCCTAGCAGAGCACTGGGGCCCAGAGGAGGACTGCGCGCACAGCACAAATAAAATGTGGGCGACCACTCTGACCCTCTGCTGACAAGGAGTGCTCTTCTGTCTAGAACTGGGGTTTTCCAGGTGGGGAGGATGTTGCTCCCCCTCAGACCGCTGGCAATGTCGGGAGCCATTTTTGGTTGTCACGACTGGATGCCAGAGATGGGATCTCCAATCCTCACTTGAGAATCAAGCTCATAACATCTTGTGTGAGGGCTCAATCAACCTATCTATCTATCTATCTATCTATCTATCTATCTATCTATCTATCTATCTATCAATCAACCTATCTATCTATCTACCTATCTATCTACCTACCTACCTATCTATCTATCTATCTATCAATCAACCTATCTATCTATCTATCTATCTATCTATCTATCTATCTATCAACCTATCTATCTATCTATCTATCTACCTACCTACCTACCTATCTATCA